ATTCTCATTGTACAGTACATGATGGGCTTGCGTTTACAAACGTAATCAGTTGGCTAACATATAATATAAATGTAGAGTGAGGTCATAGTTTGGTGACAATGGTCAGGAATATACCTTTACAGCTTTACAGGCGATAGACGATACAATACATAAGAAATAATCTCAGCAGCAAATGTAGTCCATGAGTCAATCGCACTTTGAATGGCCTAAAGTCTTTGAATATCTTAGGGAAAAACCGTCACATCTGCTGTTACCGTGAGTTTTAGTCCTGTGGTTAAGTGGTTTCACAAATCATATCATGGTACTAGATCATCACGTTTATTTGATAGTTAACATTATTAATCGCTACGTATTGTCTGCATCCAAGAGACACGATTACATATTCCTTGTTCAAAAAACGTCAGTTTTGATTACCGAAGGAAGCGAAGTGATGATTATTTCTCACAATGTTTCTACCAGCCTGATGCTCAGCAACAACTAGCTACTAAAAGATATTTTGACTGAACAGTACTATTTTTTGAAAAGTTGACTTCCTCTCAATGACTGTCATCTTTTAACCAGACACAAATAAATTAATATGTTTCACTTTTAGAATGGATGCTAGTGGCCCCATAATAACTTTAACTAAACCATTGTGAAATTAATTCATTTACCAATAGTATTGCTTCACAGAAACGAATTTTAAATATGCTCACCGAATATGTTTTTATTGTATATTGGAATATTAGTTTTCCGTTAATTTATACATACTTCACGCGATTGTTCAAGCTTAAGTTAACTGCTCAAGCTACTAAGTTCAGTTTGTTTTCCGGTTTTTTTAATACAATGTTGTTGGTTTCTGGTTGTACACAGCTCTTAGAACATTATAAGATGTGATGTAAAAAATTATTGGAGTCAGATAGAATACGCGATTTAGTTAACCGCATATGCTTCTGAAATCTGTGGCGCACCTTTGAGTTTGCTGAAGTAACAATTCTGTTAGAAGTTTAATCTTATAAATTTCATGACCAACTGATTGTTCCTGACCCTTATGAGAATAATGAGTCGACGAAACACTTCGCACTCACTTGATGAATGTTGAAATAATATGAAAGCACAAATCTTTTCCGAAGGCAGAAGGTACATGGTTTTTTTATTTTATTAAATATTACAGAAAAGTTCCCTTCACTAATTCCTACTGATCAAGTGCAACCAGAAAACACAACAAACAAAGCAGAATGACATGAACACATCACTTATTGTTTCGTGGATTCTTGTCAACTGCTTACAATCTGGCCAGTGTGAAAAGTATAATCTACAAGAGTTTGAAAAACATTCTTTCGAGCTTCCACAAGTTATAATCTATTACAACTATGAAGCATATCAGTTCAAAATTCTGTAAGTTCCTTGGTGATTTTGAGTTGAATGGATTAATTTGTTGTTTTTAGGATGAATAAATGAACATTCATAAAGAAAGCAGTATCACATAAAATTGATGCTTAGCTAGAGGAAGCATATCAGTGTTATAGGTTGTGAAACTGCAATATGCATACTTTATAGAATAGCAGAACGAAATAAACTAAGTACGATGGAGTTCTCACAAAAAAATGTCATCAGATAAACCCTCAAACTTCCTTCTCTTCCAAGATGACTATCCATCAAGTGAGGGAAATGGACACAAACATCCTGCCTGGCTAGTAGACATTTCAACGCTGAACTATCGATGCACAGTCTAGTGAACACTGTCTACAACCTCATGAACGTATTCTTCAGAGTCAGTTACTCACGTCATAACAGAGATCCACTGTGTACAAACAACCTCCGAATCTTTGGATTACATCTTTTCAAAAGTTTTATTTAAGTAACCAACCGATAGCTTGCCTGAGGTGTGCCCATCTTATAAAAGGCCGCTGCATTAAGAATGTACGTTAATAGAATTATTTCACCAAGAATAACAAAAGTAAGTTAATTTGATTCATGCGTTTATTGCACGCATCATTTGGACTTATAATAAATAGGATCATGGCAATTAATATTTAGACATCAACTGGTGCATTGAACACATGGTTGTCTTCATCGCGATTATTGCTATTAAAGTCATAAAGGATAGCGGAAGTGACTTGTGACATGGTCATATACTGAAAAAACACTAAAACCAAGGTTATTAGAGACAGCCTGAATGGTAGGAAGGTATTTGCAGTCACTTCATTGCAATGTTTTAATTCTTCTCCATTAAGATATAGCGCCTGCTTAAGAGACAGAAAATAGAATAGAAAGAATGGTGAAAACCTGCAAATTCATTGCTTGAAATGAATAAGGTTTCAGCAGGTTTCGGTATACAATTTAGCATTTACAAACCAAGAAAGCTACTCATAGCTTGTCGAAATTCAGTTTATCAACTGAGCGACAAAATATCCGTCTCCCTCAGTTTTGTGTAACAAGGTTTGTAGTCATTCATATTCGGCGTGAATTATATTGTTTTTACACAAGAAGAATCAATTCATGAAAACATCAACGAAGCCATGGCAGTTGCTCCTGCTGTGTATATCCAGTGTTTTAAAAAGTCCAACGATCTATGTTGAATACACTTGAAACACAAAACGCGGTAGTTCAAGCTTTGCAACCGATTTTTAATGATTTCCTTGATACCACATTTAAGTAACTGTAAACCTTGCTTTAATAAAAATTTCACGCATAACTCAGTATAAAATTTGAGTTATTCGTCATGAATCCACAGCTAACCGTTAAATCATGCAAAATGCATTTAAACCATAGTGAAAAATACTGTTCCACATGAAATGTGTCATAATTGTTGGAAAAACAAACAGGAAGAAAATATGTTACTAGTGAACAAAACTTTAGGAAAAAGTGCAGATTTTTAGAATCTAACTTACCACATTTAAATTGAGTCCCAAAATCACACCCAAGACTATATTTGCAGTCTTCTGCAAGTAAAAGACAGGAAGAACACGCTTTGCATTGATGCAAGAGAAATGAATGTCAAAAATTCAATCTTTTTACTATTTATTGTAGTTCCACTTATTAAATCATATGCACCTCCACACCCTGCGGGACACTGTTAATTACTTGTGAGCATCATGTGTGGTTAATATCAAAACAGTTTAATCAACAAATCATCGATTTACTATGCATCAACATCAATTCAAGGTCCTTTACGGGGCAGATTTATCTAATTTTGCCTTCACAGAGGATCATGAAATTGAGATTTTCGTTGTCCTAGTGTTAGCGAGAGAATTTTTGCAGATACTGTGTAGATCGTGAGAGAATGGTAACAATTCAGCTGGAATAATGTAATCGTTTAGTTTCAACAACGTCTACACGTTTTGGTCTTCATCAACATGAATGGGACAAATTTTCTAACAGCAATTTCAAAATTATTCGAGTTCAGCGAAAGAAAACTACTGATAAAACGTTGTTTGTTAAAAACGCAACTTACTGTAAATTCAGTGGAGAAGGATATTATGAACAGAATGGCACCTAAAAGAGTCAATACAAAATCACATAGCGGGTTCCACCCCATGAAAAGAGACACCACTGCTATTGAAAATTCATGCCTCTAGCTTGAAGCTTTATGTTATACTGTGGATGCAAGAGAAAATATTAATCCTACGATAACAATATTCTTTGTGAGCTGTACAGATCATTATATTTATTCGGATAGACTTTATATAAGTTGAATGAATGAATGAAATATTGAAGTAATGAGATCACACCAGAAACAAACTAACCACTGTGTCCATTTTTAGCTGCATGATGAACAGGAGAACAGTTCAACGAATCAACTTGATCAATATCACAACCATGTCGAACAAGAACGTAAGACAATACGCGGAAATGTGTGAATAATTTAGAATTGTTATCAAGATTTATGAGGATCAGAGGAATTTATTCTCAACCATCTGGAGTTACAGTTCTTTTTGACAGACTTGCTATCTGAACAGGAGATTTTTCTATGATTCTTCATTGCTTTCACACTGGTGTGAGTACAAACAGAAAATATTTATTTTATTTTTTTATCTTTGATTACAGCTTGATTCCTCGCCGTATTTCCGGTACAAGTATGTAATTTTCAGCGTGGAAATCGGTAGCCGAAATTTTGCAGGCTGACCATAGGTATCAGGTGTGCGTCGGCGTGGGCTCGAACCTCGGGCCGTGTGCATGGTTGGCGAAAGTCCCAACCACTGTGCCACCGACGCACATGCAGTCCTGATAGATGAGCTAAAAATAATACTGCATTTTACTTCAAGCTCATAAAGTGCTGAACGCAAATCAGGCGCTCATAAAAATTATGTTTCACTGACTTAGCCATAGTTTCAATACTCTTTTAGACTACAAATAATGTTTAAAGCTCAACAACTGGTTCTTTTTAAGAACAGATATCAAATGCTAACAGATATCAGGTTTTCAATAGTATTTGAAGAGATCCGAAATTCATCAGGCACTATGAGTCTAATAGTCTAACGTTAATATGATTGTTTCGGTACTCATCCTTTTATATGTTGATCTCAGACAAGATCATGAATGGCCACTAGTGAATTCTTCCTAACTAGAATCAGGCAGATATCTAGTAATCAAAGGATTTAAACGTTTTTCTAAGAGTTTTCAGTACTTGGAAACATCTCTGTTCACATTGGTGGGACCACCACTCACTGGGAAATGCGGGTGCATGTAGTTGACTGATCTTATACTGGACGAAATGCATCATCCACTATAAAACACCCTGTAGGTCCTCAGACATCGTCAAAGCGACAGTGTTGGGAGCTAGCATGTCAGCTGGTATTGAACATATCGTTCCAGTTTAACGGAAAGATACTCCGTTGTCCAGTCCAATAAAGAAGAAACGTCACGGAGTTGAAATACCACATATTTTTCAACGCAATAGCTAGTTGAGACACTTCTTATCGCATCAGTGTGTGCAATATGCGAACAGATTTGACAGTTTAGGGAGACAAAATTCAATAACGTACACAAGATGTAGCCGATGAGAAGCCTCCTACTCAATGAATGTTTTAGCATTCAAAATATGTAAGTAAACTCAATTTATTGCATCTCACTTAAGCACGTATCAATTCTCTGGAAGAAAATATTTGTCACTAATTCATTGTTTAAATAAAAATTATTAATTAATATTTAGTATTTTTTTTCGTTCACATCCCCCAGTGGAACTTAGGGCTTCGAGCTAGTGGCTTTAAGTTTCTGTAACAGTGTTTATTTTACAGGATGGGGTTGCTAACCTCATGCCCAACCTTTCCTCTTTACCAGCATTATTTCTGTCTTAGCGAGGTAAAGGTGTGCGTCGGCCGGGGGCCGAACAACTGACCATGTGCATGGTCGGTGAGCGTCCTAACAACTATTCCACCGGCGCACAATATTCAGTATAAACCTTATTTATTAATGATAGACAGAGCAACTATTTTCATCGTGATCACCTGTTTTTCCATCGAATTCGACAAAAAAAGGTAAAGCAAACTTTTATTTCCGAAACCGAAACTAGAATATGAACGCACATTTACCACGGCATGAAGATCAAGCAAGATGTAGAGAAATATTGCGCAAGTTTTTGTCTAAAGTCTGTTAACTTGCTCTTTGTCTAACGGGGGGTGAACGGTATATAGTGCATCATTTATTGCACGAACGGAGAATACATCGAAATACAGACAACTGCGCAGCAATAGTATCAAATTAATTATCATGTTATTTTGTCAATTTCTTTTCATTACTTCGATCGTCCTCACAACATGTATGTAGATTCTACGTGAATTGCATGAAGAAGTTACTCCGTATCACATTACAGTTTTTTCCTTCCGTATATCTACAACAAACAGAAGATATTTTATAGGGTAAACAGTTGGAGGTTTCTTCAAAGCAAAACTAAAAATGTGAACTGATCCTCTTAGCACAAGGATCCTGAAATTGTATTCTCGCTTATAAAGAAGCAGTGAGGCTAAACAAATGTATGTCATCATCTAAAATTATGCAACATTTCAAAGCCCGAAGAATATTGGGGACGTAGGAAACTTACCTCTGCTGTCATTCATTTAAAGAAAGATATGCAGTATCACTCATCCTTTCATGGATTCTCTACCTTTTCGAAACTAGCATGCATTCAATAACTACAGTAGCACAGAAACTTGTTTTTGTATCAAGCCTAAAAACTGCGTATTTATATATTATTTTGGTGACAAGGCATTGGAAATAATAACGTTTAGAGAATTCCAAACTAAAGTTTTCACATATTGCTATCTGTATTGCATCAGGAATTCGAGGAGATAGTCTGGGTAAAAAAGTCTTTCCGCCCAGCTTCATCGTGAAATTTTCAATCGATGGTAAGTTTGTTTATTTCTTATTTCAGTGCGCAATTTACGTAATTCAGTGATAAAATGTACAAGAAATATTCTGTATTTTATGCCTGTTATGGTAATTGAGATAGTTACATGAAAAGAGAACTTCAAATTTTTCTTAATAATAATTTACTTAGAAATACGAGTGTGCTTCTCTGCATAATGCAGAGTCTATTGAGTATCATATTCTGTGCTTCCAGATTAAGGTTAGTTATCAACATTGCTGATGATTTGTGAGATTGTCTAACATATTGTGGTCTCACACAGGTACGCACTGCTTCAAGCAGACCACTAGTGGTGACACAGGTGAATGGCCTTTGTTGAATTTCACTAAATATTTATACTCAGGACTAATAAAATTATTGATTGTTGACTACAGCTCGGTACACCCATTGAAGTGGAACTATAAACAAATATTCTGGAGTCGAATGAAGCTATTTTATTTTTAATTTTTTACATTCCCAGTGAAATAGACCACATCAAAACAAGACGAACATGTTCGTTCTGCGATATGATACTGAATAATTAACTTTCCGCAATCATAGTAAGACATTCAACGATTTCATGGTGTTGTTTCATTCAAATCGTGGTGTTTAATTCTAAAGAGGCATTTCTACGCATCTGATCTCTGTGAGAAATCTCTTTGAATTAAACAAATTTTACATTCAATCTCTCTTTGTCAATAGATCCTGAGAGAGTAGAGATTAACCCGTTCATTATTCTATTTCATGAGAATCGGGTAGCAACTGAGCTCAATGAGTAATCAATCAATGAATCGTCGTAGTTATCATCATTTAATTTTGATTATTTTTAAGTTCAGCAGTTCCATGAATTCACCAATTTTCATCACAACATGGTTCAAAGTAAAACATTTATTGACTCGTGATTTAACGCCCCTACTGAATATGGTCAAAATTAGAAAACTTTGATGTCAGCTGAAACCTTTGATAGGTTTTGGTGAAAACTTCAACAACATTCAACATGAAAAAAACCATGAATCAAAGTTTGAAGAATGAAACAGATATTCATTCACACACAAGTTGAAAATTCCTCTTAGTGAATATTGTAACGTCTAAAGATGACTTTATTTTCGCAGGTGAGCGATTCTGTTTTTATCGTTTCTCTTTACCTAATTTGAAAATTTTGAAGCTGCAGTCCACATTGAATATCATGATTTTGAATCTCATGATTTCAAGGTTTATTTGTTTTAACTCTTGATATCACTATTAGGCGGTGATTCCAATTTTACTGACGTATTGCTTTGAAGGAAAATCCTTTCCTTATGTATTTCTAATACGATTTTAATATTATTTATGATATAAAATTTCCTACATTAAATTCAAATAAACTGAACACGAAGTTGGATTCGAAACAATTCACACTTGACCACATTCCTTGTATTGTCAGTATGAAAAGAGGAATCATCTTTCACGGCTGATTAAGATTCTAAAATTTAGTTATAATTTTGAATACAGTTCAATGGAATCCTCGTAAGTGTAAATTATAATGTTTCATTGAGAAGCTAAAGGTTTGCATGTTTTCTGTTTATAAACTGACAGATATTTAGACATAAATCCTTGAATTTTATGAATTTGCTTGTTATTTATTATTCAATATCGATGTCTGCATCTCAAAGTATATTAACTTTTTATACAAACATGACATCGCTTACTTCTGCAGGCACTCTCTCATCATCAAATAATCATGCTGCATAATTGAGCATAATGATCCATTGGTATCTACTGCAGGCTTGTTACCATAGCGATAAACATTTAATGAAAGATTTCTCAAGATATTGAGAATGACTTTTTTTGAACTTTATTAGAATAACTATTTACATTCACTGATCATGTTAACTTTCAGGTACTTGAAGATACTGTTCTCAGCTGGCGGGATTATACAGTGTTCGCTTGCTTGTGAGTACCTTTTTCTTTTTTTTTTCGGATAAATACTGTTAGTAGTATGTGGATAACAATACATTCATACTAAGTGGTGATTATACGCTCAAGAATCATACAATTCATTTCTAAAAGCTAGAGCAATGGACTAATGCAAAATACTGACCTAAATGATAGATCAGTTTTCAGATAGTTTTTTATCTATATGATCATTATTTTTGGACGATATATTGAGGCGTCGAGAATCATGGGCCACGATATTCCAATAAAATCAACTTTCTGCTCTAATCACTTTACGCTTTTACCGCTAACACTTGGAACTCCATTTAGGAAAAAATATTCAGCTCCAAAGTGAAGATAAGATTAGGTAATTATGCATGAATGAAATGTGCTTATCATGATTATCAACAAATTGATTGCTTATGTTAAGTCTTTTGTAATCATTTTATCCACCTGAAATTATACGCATCATTTCTCTGGTCTGGTACTGGTTCTTAACGCCATTTGACTTGTTCTCATCTGCTCCGTGAATTGTACCTGCGCTGATACCTTTTTGAGTTCAGACTAATTGGAATACTGGTCTTTTCAGAAATAAAGCGGATCTATATCACTTGTCTGACTTATTAGAACACATACAGCAACGCTGAGGTCTGGACGTAAAAGTAAAGTCATTTCACGTGGAGGAAACATTTTGGGCCTCAGCATTTTTAGATACTAGTATAGAGCAAACAGAGCTAGGTCGGCTTGTGAATTATTGATCGTAATGTTGAGTGACATACTATTAGCGAGAAGAAACAAAACGAACATACGTAAGAAAGGGATATTGAGTAGTCTTACACTATCACACAGTCGAATTTATCTTCACCTTTACAATTTTCGGACCATTAAATTGGCAATCAGAACATTCATAATAGAATCTAACTTGTTAGTATATACAAGAACGTTTCCATAGATGTCCTCTATATGCAAAAATCTCATCTCCCTCAACTGTCAAAGAATCTTATAAATAACAATTGAAATTATTCACAATTGATGGATATAATTGTGAGATACATACAATCAATTCCTCCTAAAATAGGTTCCAGTTAATAAGGTGTAATATCATACGCCATCACATTATCGAATGTTTCCACGTGAATAACTCTGTTTCAGCTTTTGAATTTCATTGGGGCTGTTTTCTACTTGTTTTTCAGAGGATTGATTGTGATCTTCTGTATGATGCTAGTCTTCGGTTTCAGAAATAATTTAACAAGTGCACTGGTCCTGTTGGCATTAATAGTAAGTTGTTCAGAGTTTCAAGGTAATGAGTGGAATTCATTTCATTATCATTTTGTGTTTGTTGTGTAGTTCTTTTGAAAAAGAAGATTGACTTTAAACAAGTCACTAACTGCAATAATGAAGGATTTGAATAATTTTGTAAAGTTTTGTAAAAACCACAAACTAAATTTTAGTGATAATAACAGAAATGATTATAAAGGGATAATTAAAACGATTAAAGTTAGACAAGCCATAGTTTTAAATGAATCAGTAATGCTATTATTGAGGTAGAATAATTTGAAGAATAAATAAAAATAATAACAACAGTTAACAAGTACAGTAAATTCCTACGGCATATTCAAGGTGGTTACAATTTTCTTCTATACAGAATGGTAGAACTCATTGAATCTAATGTCGCAAGCCTCTTCATTTGTTCGAAATTAATGTCTGTTTATCTTTAGACAGCATAGGTTACAGTAGCTTCACGAGGTGAATATGATGCTTTTTGTTCAAAGTGTGTTCAGCTTTTACATTTCTTGATGTTTTGACTACATCCTCGTTCAACCACCTTCGCAGATGATTCATCAAGCGGATAGAATTCACCGTTTAGTATAACCTGTTTATTCCTTTGCATGAATACACTCGAATTGATATTCACAGCTAGAAGCGTCAGGGATTATTGAAACACCTACTTGATGAAGTAAAGGAAAACAATTTTTACAGCTTAACAAGTTCTCATGGTAGCCTAATCGAATCATAGTTTTACTATATCTTGTATGTCGTCTCCTTTGAATTAGAAATATTTCTTCAAGATTATAAGGGCATTTCTACTGAAACTTTTTTCTTTTTAATATTTATTGATGGGCCAATCGCAACATCGATTCTTATCCACTGAAGTCTTTATTTTATATCCCTTTTACTATCAAAACAGATTTGTGTGGTCTGTTCAACTATGTGACGACTAAGTTCTTTTACTCGTTTGGTATTAAATAGCACGTGTTTTGATGTTGTGTTAGCACTCGGACGGCAAAAGTTTAATTTTACTAAAAAATGTCCTGCTTTTGGTTCACTTTCGAAGACAATCAAAATAGCATCAACATATCTTAAATTTAATATGACTTGTAGTGCGTGCCGTTGCAAAATACCGCTTTTTAGGCAGTAAATGATTTAGTGGAATTCAGGTGTTGGAAGCGACATACTTAAAGAATGTCTTCAGTCTAAAATATAGTCTTGATTATTCTCCAAATATCTGCGTACGATAAACTTGAAACCTACTGGGAAAAATCTTTGCCGTTAAATAGAATAACTTGTCACACATATTACTCTGAATTCAATTAATTTAAGCAGATTAATAATCTTGATAAATGGATGGCTTTGCAGGCATTATTGAAAACAAATTTATAATCTGTCCCTATGATGTGCTTATCGATACATAATTCTCAAAATATACTTCCAGGAAGAGTTGAATCAGTTGAATCTATTTCTTGTTCTAGCCATTTAGGAATGTGTTCCTTCTCCTTTAAAGCATAGACCGACTAGTCCTCTCTATGTACGTGTGACGGAGAAGGCATGTACATTATTAAATATAGTGTGATGAGACATCGTCTTTTCGCTCAAAACAAGACCTAGAAGTGGACATTGACATATTGTACAACAAATGAATAAACTAGTTGTAGTTATGAAATGCCAGTCAATAAATGCGGAATCCAGATCAGCGTCTCGCTTCAAACTGTCCACATAATTGCATGTAACGATACGTATTTGGAAACTGAAGTTAAGTGTTATTTTGCATGCAATTTGATGAACGCATTCATTCTATAAAAAATGTTGAAATATTTATATTTACATATTGAAAATATTCGGTTTATTTTGCCGACAGATTACATTATGGTCCACAAGCATATATTTCGTGTGTTGCAAAGAGGTAGATTTTTATTGTCACATTTTATTGGATTTCATAATACTGGAAGACGCATTAACCATTATCTTCTGCATCCTTATCAAAAGATTCAGAGAAGTAGTGATGAGAGTTCTACTCATTTTATCGACGA